TGAATTCTTTTATTGGTCTCTTCAAATGCTTTGGACTTAACAGATAATTCTTGTATTTTGATAGAGAGCTCCCCTACAGCTCCTTCTATCTTCCTATCTATCATCTCCTGTATTTCTTCTAGCTTATTTTCCATATGGATTTCGTTCTGCTTAAACTCCTCCATAATTTTTAGCCACAGAAAATCTAAATCTCTAATTTCCTCCTGTCTGGATGTCTTCCTTTCAACTGGGGTCCCCCCTCCCTTTTCCCCATTTCCCCCCGACATTTTAGTCCTACTTTTACGCTGTGTTAGTTGCCACAAAATCTCTCCCCTTAGGGGCTCACAATCTCCTTTTATTCACTCAGTAGGCCACACTAAGCTAAGATGGGTATATTAACAATAAAAAAGTACAGCCAAGCCCACGTCCATTCACCCCCCATCACTTATATCAAAGTACTGTGTGTATCCACTTCCACAGCTAATCTTGGAGATTTCCCCCTTCCGTATGCGGTATTTTACTAGGTCTGATTCGTCTTTTAAAAGTACGTAGGAAAAAGAACTCCAGGGCGTATTCCCAAATTATATCGTATATTACTCTGACCAGTTCAACTTGTCCCCCGAGACTTCAGCCACTTGCTGGCCTAATTCCACATAGGGAGGAGTGATGTAGTCCTTATTAAATAGCGTTCATAAGAGGCGGATACAAGAAGTACTGTAAAGTGTTCCAATTATAGAGGATGGATGAATGGTAGATAAATTTAGTCTGTTGGGGTGAAAGTCGACTCTGAATTACAGATTTAATTATTTAAATTGTTCTGTTTTGTTAGAAAAAACAGTTTTCCTTCAGTCCAGGAAGAAAGACCCTTTCTCAACCTTGCTTTCCAGACCTGATTCCATCATTTGCAGTTACAGAGCTACACATAGTAATTACATTTATTGTTGTTAAGGAAGAGAGAGTGGTTTGTTAAAGTTATCAAAGTAAAAAAAAGAAGAGAAGATAGAGAAGCATAGACAAAAAGAGGCGGAGGGGAAAAAAATACAAAAGGGAGAGACGCGGGGGGGAGGGGAGGCTAATACTACAAGAGAGAAGGGGGGCCAAGGAAAAAGGGGCAGAGAGCGATTATAAGCCTTTTTGGCGTAACTTTATATGGCGTCCTCCATCTTGTCTAGTTTCCCATATTCCAAGTTCCCAAGCGTCTGTAGTGAATTCTCCTCTCTGTCCCTTTAAATTGTATCTCCTCAGCGTCGCTTCAGTCAAAATCGAAGTCCAAGCTTCAGTCAAAATCAAAGTCAACGGGACAGTGAGAAACAGAACCAAACAAAAATCCTCCTTAAACAGGCATCTTCTATGCCACTTTATATCCAAAAGTTAGTTTAACTTGGCAAATATTGCCACAACGTTCTGTGCACACTCAGCCCGGTAGTTACTTCCTTTTCAAACTGCCTGCGATCCCGTGACCTGCTCACCACCGGGTGGATTCCTTATATAAATCTTAAAACATCCAGGACTCACCCAACTTAAGTTCCAGTTTTCAAAGTTGTCTTAAATCCCCACACGTTGGGAAATCCATTTTTATCCAGTGGGGGTTCGTCGCCCTTCTCAGCAGAAGCTAGAGGCATCGCAACACGGAGTCGGTGCTCTCCCATTTTGCGCTCGCGGTCCCATCCTGGGCTTCCTTTCCTTTCCAGAAAGAAACCCGAAGAGGCAAAAAAACCGCTCCCACGCTGCCAGGAAGCCTATCCCTCAGGGGTCTCCCCCCTGAGCTTTTTGGGGGGCGCAGTGCCCTTGCGGCACCCCCAAGCCTCCGTGTTGTTCGGAAAGTCCTTTGCGTGGCTTTCCGCGCTTCTTCGCCGTCTGCGACCAAAACCGGAAGTTGCCTGCTCCACTTCCTTGTGGGGCGCTGTTGCGGGCAGGCCACGTGGTCTCCCCATACACAGCAGGGGCATGGCTAAGCCCCCACGTCATGAAGGGAGTCCTGGCTGCATCATGACCCCCGGCCAACTGATCTGGTTTGCTGGGGGCGTGGCTTAGCGTATTTAAACAGGTACGCAGCCGGGGAATCTCCCTTCTTGTTCCTGCTTCCGTGGATCTCCCGCCCTCCGGCCTTCCTTCCATCCATTCTACATCTTGGCCTTGCTATGGATCTCAGTTGGTCGCCTGTTGAGAGGGCCTGGTAGGAATTTTTCCACTTGAAGAAGAGAAGAAGAGGAGGAGTTTGGACTTGATATCTCGCCTTTCACTCCCCTTAAGGAGTCTCAAAGCGGCTAACCACCACCTCCCCCACAACAAACACTCTGTGAGGTGAGTGAGGCTGAGAGACTTCAGAGAAGCGTGACTAGCCCAAGGTCACCCAGCAGCTGCATGTGGAGGAGCAGGGAATCGAACCCGGTTCACCAGATTACAAGTCCACTGCTCTTAACCACTACACCACACGTGGCAAATTGGCACCAGCCATCTGGTTTTCGCCTACCTCAAAGCAATCGTCACAACTTTTGTAAGGTTTGGCGGTTAGGCACAGGTAAAACCAGGTTCTTGGGAGGGGAGATTGTGGCCATCACTTGCGCCTCCTTTTAAGGGTATTCCGTTAAAGGGATCCGGGTGTGTGGATCTTGTCCAAAGCCCGAGTAGGGGCTAGGGCCATGCCATGACCCCATCGGGGACCCTGGAGGAGCTCTTAGTTGATGTACATCAACAGGGCTCCCCCTACTGGTGGTTGACCCTTACTAGACTACCTGCATGGTGGGCAGGAGTCAGGTATAGTCGGTTCAGTTCTAATGCCTAAGCCAATACCACTCACATTCTGTAACCAATAAAGTTGTTGCCTTTAATTTGCCCATTAACGTAAAATACTGTGTCTATTGTTATTATTCAACAAATGGGGAGGGCTCGGGGCCTTGGAACGCGAACAGGGGTTCAAATGCCCCTGGGAAGTTGCCCCATGGATATATTGCAATGTATAGATGAGCAGTGGGACACGGGTGGCGCTGTGGGTTAAACCACAGAACCTAGGACTTGCCGATCAGAAGGTTGGCGATTCGAATCCCCGCAACAGGGTGAGCTCCCGTTGCTCGGTCCCTGCTCCTGCCAACCTAGCAGTTCGAAAGCACGTCAAAGTGCAAGTAGATAAATAGATATCGCTCCAGTGGGAAGGTAAACGGTGTTTCCGTACGCTGCTCTGGTTCGCCAGAAGCGGCTTAGTCATGCTGGCCACATGACCCGGAAGTTGTACGCCGGCTCCCTCGGCCAATAAAGCGAGATGAGCGCCGCAACCCCAGAGTCGGCCACGACTGGACCTAATGGTCAGGGGTACCCTTTACCTTATAGATGAGCAGATGGTTAAGTAGCCCTGAGATCATTAAGCTTCTTTACCTATCTGAGAGTCCTATCCTTGGCAGAACTTACTAGGGGTGGGTAAGGGAACCTTGTCTATCCTTGGTCTGGAAACCAAGCCCTATGAGGAATTTGCTATGTAAGGAATATTCACAGAGCATTCAGGTTCCTTGCAAATACAGTGGTACCTTGGTTCTCAAACTTAATCCGTTCCAGAAGTCCATTCAAAACCAAAGTGTTCCAAAACCAAGGCGCACCTGGGGGGGCTGGTAGGGAATCCAACAACCATGTTTCAAATAACTGTATTATCAGACATCCTATCCCTGTGCCACTAATCTGCTGTTGCAGTTGAGAATGCAAATATTCATGGCACCCGCGGAACAATTCTGAGCCCAGTATTCTTACCGTGTTATCCACTGAAGCACTGACTTTAAAAAAAAATTATCTTGGAAGTTGGCAGGATAACATTTGATTCTGTGTTTCATGCTGCTCCACAGGTTCAAGCAGATTATATCCGCAAAAACTTTACAAATCTTTAGGTTATTCATGCTATACAGTGGTACCTTGGTTCTCAAACTTAATCCGTTCAGAATTCCGTTTGAAAACCAAAGCGTTCCAAAACCAAGGTGTGCTTTCCCATAGAAAGTAATGCAAAACGGATCTATCTGTTCCAGACTTTTAAAAATAACCCCTAAAACAGCAATTTAACATGAATTTTACTCTCTAACGAGACCATTGATCCATAAAATGAAGGCAATCAATGTACAGTACTATAAAATAAATAAGACAGTATTGTAGATGATAAAAATTAAAATTATTATTTTTTCTTATACTTGCACTGATGATAGTCATTGTTTGGATTTTATCCATTTCCACAGTCACACAGTCAATCAATCAATCACAGTTCCACACAGTCACAAAAACAAATTAACCGAAAAGGCCTAAAAAAACACACCCGCAAAATAAATGGCAAAAACAAAAGCACCAAATACAGTGGTACCTCGAGTTACATATGCTTCAAGTTACATATGCTTCAGGGTACAGACTCCGCCAACCCAGAAACAGTACCTCGGGTTAAGAACTTTGCTTCAGGATGCCCCATTAGCTAAAGGAGGCCCCATTAGCTAAAGTGGTGCTTCAGGTTAAGAACAGTTTCAGGTTAAGAACGGACCTCCGGAACGAATTAAGTACTTAACCAGAGGTACCACTGTACAATGATACCTTGGTTCCCAACTTAATCTGTTCCAGAAGTCCATTTGACTTCCGAAATGTTCAGAAACCAAGGTGTGGCTTCTGATTGGTGCAGGCACCCCAGAAACAATAGCTGACAGCTGCATTGGACGTTCGGCATCTGAAAAACATTTGAAAACCGGAACACTTACTTCCAGGTTTTTGGCGTTTGGGAACCAAGGCGTTTGAAAACCAAGGTAGCACTGCAGTACTATGGGTCCCACCTCTACTTAAATCTGAAGTGCATCAAGTAAGGGGTCTGGGGGAGGTACTCAGCAGGAAAACCTTATTTGTATAAGTTTGTTATAGCCTTTACTCAGAGAGAGAAGCTGTTGCCCAGAAGCAGTGAGTAGACACACAGGCATGCCAACCTGCTGGAAAGATTTTGTTCCAATGCGCAGAAAAAGGGAAGTCTCAAAAAGCGGGGGAAATAAAGTGTGCTCCAAAGAAAAACACTGACTTGCAGATATATGAGTCAGAGCTGAGACTGCATTCCTTTTGTCACAGGCTCTCTTGGGAGTCGTAGATTCCGGGATGTGGCTATTTTTCACAGCTCTGGGAAACTGGGGGACAGATTACTAAACGGATGAATCACGTCCAAGAGAAATACTTTTGTGTCATCAGGTTTGATCCTGGTCAACAGAATGAGGTAGTGGGTCTGACTGTGCTAGAAATCCTGATTTGAACCGGGAATGAACCATGTTCGGGGTTTGTGTTTCAAGGAAAGGGCGGAGGAGATCGTTGGCAGGGTGGAATGTGGATGGAATGACAGTTGGGGGATGACGGCTGGGGAATTTTGCCAGTTGACAGTTGGAAGAGAGAGAGAGAGAGATAAGAGGGTGGAGATTAGAGGGTAAGTTTAACTGGGTGGGAAAATTTGAGTTGTTCCTGCTACTTCTAAATGCATTGATTGCAGACGTGAATTTGTTTTCATTGTTCCTATGCAATCTTGCCTAATGAACACATTTTTGAAAACCTAAAAGATCTTCGTTTTCCCTAATATAATGCAATTTTCTCTGTTGTTGTTTTTTTGCTACTATGTGCATGTTCATGCACACTTTACCTTAGTACAGTGTTTCCCAACCTTTTTTGGGCAAAGGCACACTTGTTTGATGAAAAAAATCTCGAGGCACACCACCATTACAGCCCCGTGACGTCAGCGCGCAGCGTCACGCCGGGAGGGACGCACGAAAGTGTAACTTTCAATTTTTTTCCCTCCCCCTTGCCGGGGAACCTCCAAGCTTTGGGGGTGGGGGGGGAGGAGGCAGCAAAGCGAGGGACTGAGGGGCTCCTCCAACGACAAGGGTTGGGGAAGAAGAGAAAGGGCTATTCCGCTCCAGTCACGGGAGGGGAATATGTACTGGCCCAACTGGTGTGCGGTCTTCGGAAAGCGGGGTGCGGGAAGGAAGCCTAGGCTCGGGGGCATAGAATCATAGAATCATAGAGTTGGAAGAGACCACAAGGGCCATCGAGTCCAACCCCCTGCCAAGCAGGAAACACCATCAGAGCACTCCTGACATATGGTTGTCAAGCCTCTGCTTAAAGACCTCCAAAGAAGGAGACTCCACCACACTCCTTGGCAGCAAATTCCACTGTCGAACAGCTCTTACTGTCAGGAAGTTCTTCCTAATGTTTAGGTGGAATCTTCTTTCTTGTAGTTTGGATCCATTGCTCTGTGTCCGCTTCTCTGGAGCAGCAGAAAACAACCTTTCTCCCTCCTCTATGTGACATCCTTTTATATATTTGAACATGGCTATCATATCACCCCTTAACCTCCTCTTCTCCAGGCTAAACATGCCCAGCTCCCTTAGCCGTTCCTCATAAGGCATCGTTTCCAGGCCTTTGATCATTTTGGTTGCCCTCCTCTGGACACGTTCCAGTTTGTCAGTGTCCTTCTTGAATTGTGGTGCCCAGAACTGGACACAGTACTCCAGGTGAGGTCTGACCAGAGCAGAATACAGTGGCACTATTACTTCCCTTGATCTGGTGGACTTGTCCAAAAGTGAAGGCCTTCTGGGAAATGATCTATAATGAGTTAAAAAAGGTATTTAAGTATACCTTTCCCAAGAAACCAGAGGCCTTCCTCTTGGGCATTGTTGGCCAGAAAGTGTTAAAGAAGGATAGAACTTTCTTTATGTATGCAACTACAGCAGCAAGAATACTTATCGCAAAATATTGGAAGACACAAGATTTGCCCACACTGGAAGAGTGGCAGACGCAATTGATGGACTACATGGAACTGGCTGAAATGACTGGCAGAATCCGAGATTTGGGAGAAGAAACAACGGAAGAGGACTGGAAAAAATTTAAGGACTATTTACAAAAACAATATAAGTTGTATGAATGTTAAAAATTTACACGATTCGGAAACTATAGCTTCAGCAATTAGATTTGGGAAACAGGAAATTATATTTTAAGTAAGAAAAGGTCAAAATCTAAGGTAATACTATGTTTAATTTAAGATATAAGTAACTGATGAAAAGTATGTTAAATTTAGAGGTATAGTATTTGAAAAGTACAAAATAAGGTACGAAACAAGGTAATAATTTGCTGATATCTTTATTATAAAGAATGCAGGGAAAGGGAGATGCGAGGAAGCCCAGTTAGTTATATAAAAAATGTGTTGAATGGTTGGTTTTCTTTTCTTCTTTTTCTTTTTTTCTTTTTCTTGTTCTTTTACTTTTTTCTTCAGTGTATGTTTCTAACTTTGTATTTGAAAACTTAATAAAATATTTATATATAAAAAAAGGGAAAATCCTTTCGCTTTTCTGGGGTGCAGGGAAGTCTCAGAGCCGGAGGTTGGGGAAGGGACCCCCTTTGCTCTGCCCTCTTCTCCCGTCTTAGATTCGCATGGGGGTCCCCGCCCGAGCTTGCCTGGCCACCGGGCCACACAAGGACCGCGCTCTACGCGGCGCACCTTGCTAGCCGCGCAGCTGTCCTCCGCTGCGCTGCCAATGACAAGCGGGCGACGGTCGCGGGCAGGGAAGGCGTCGCTTTCTTTCCCGATCCTTCATCCTCCCAGTCTTCCAGCCCTTTTTTGGGTTGGAAGCTCGTCTCGTTCGCCCTTCTCCTTTCTTCACCCTGCGCGCAATTTTCCTCCCTCGTCTCCCTCCCCATTTCTCCTTCCTTCCTGACTGACGGGCTCGGGCTCGGGCAGCCACAGCGTCGGCGGTGTTGGCGCTCGGCGGCGCGGGGGGATGGCCCTCCCGGGGGAGCCGGCGCTGCTCAATGGGGTTGCCAAGGAGACAGGCCGGGCGCCCCCCTCCCCCGGCCCGGCGCCCCCCGCCGCGCCGGTGCCCGTTATCGAGCTGGTGCGCGCCCGGCGCCCTATAAAAGCCACGGACGCGCCAAGCGTCGACACGCAGAGCCAGCGCGGCAGCGGCGCTCTGCTGGAGGGGGCCCCCTCAGGCCCCATGGAGCCTATGCGCTCAGGAGGGGCCGGTGGGCTGGCAAGCGCCTCACAGCAGCAGCACCAGAGAGGGAGAGAAGTCCGCCTCCCGCTGCCGCCGCCTCTTCATCCCCAGCAGCAACTTCCCTGCCCGGCTCCCCGCCGCCGCCGCCGCCTCCTTCTCTCCCTGCTTTGCAGTAGCAGCCGCCGCCGCCGCGGCACACCAGGCAAAATCTCCCGGCACACTAGTGTGCCGCGGAACACCGGTTGGGAAACACTGCCTTAGTAAATACATTTCTGGCTGGAGAACGACCCTGCAAAATTCAGAGAAGTGCAAACTTCAAAGGATGGCTGTGTTTGGCTTCACATATTGTTCCAGAAAGTGCAAATACATCGGTTCACCTCCAAATGTGAATGGAATCCAATTTCTCCCCGATCTTGCAGTGCCCAAACAGATGCCAGTTCCTCTCCCAACTGCAGCAAACTGGGCACCAATGTCTGAAAGAAAATCCCAGTTGCCTTCACCTGACATGGTTAGAATCCTCAGGATTCCTAAAGGAATGGAAGGTTTGCAGCCATGTTCAAGGGAAGGCAGTTCTCTGAAGACTTACAGACACAGGTTGGAAGAAGAGGGACAGAGTTTGAGCCCTCGTGGGCCCATTTGAATGCCTATGAAGAGCTTGCGACAACTCCAAATCAATTGAGACTACAGAGTCTACAGAGAGAAATCAAAGATCGCATTAGAGATACAGAAAAGAACATAAGATGGAAATTCATTGGACAGTTTCATAGGATCTTAGAGTTGGAGGTAACCCAAGTATCATGTAGTCCAACCCCCTGCAATGCCAGAATCTCAGCTAAAGCATCCATGATAGATGGCTATCCAAACTCTGCTTTAAAACCTCCATGGAAGGAGAGCCCACCAACTCTCATGGGTGTCTGTTCCACTACTGAACAGCTTTTACTATCAGAAAGTTTTCCCGAATGTTAAGTAGGAATCTCCTTTCTTCCAACTTCAAGCCATGGTTCAAGTCCCACCCTCCAGAGCAGGAGAAAACAAGCTTGGTCCCTCTTCCACCTGACAGCCCTTGAGTTATTTGAAGATGGCTATCGTATCTCCTCTCAGTCTCCTCTTTTGCAGGTTAAATATACCCAGCTCCATCAAGCGCTCCTCATAAGGCTTAGTTTCCAGACCCTGGATCATCTTGGTAGCCCTCCTCTGCACACGTCCCAGCTTGTCAACATCCTTCTTAAATTGTGGGGCCCAGAACTGGACACAGTGTTCCAAGTGTGATCTGACTAAGGCAGAATAAAGGTAAAGGTACCCCTGCCCATACGGGCCAGTCGTGTCCGACTCTAGGGTTGCTTGCTCATCTCGCTCTAAAGTCCGTGAGCCGGCGCCGTCTGAAGACACTTCCGGGTCACATGGCCAGTGTGACGAAGCTGCAGCTGGCGAGCCAGCACCAGCGCCGCACACGGAAACGCCGTTTACCTTCCCGCTATAAAGCGGTACCTATTTATCTACTTGCACTTAAGAGTGCTTTCGAACTGCTAGGTGGGCAGTAGCTGGGACCGAACGACGGGAGCTCACCCCACCGCGGGGATTCGAACCGCCGACCATATGATCAGCAAGTCCTAGGCACTGAGGTTTTACCCACAGCGCCACCCGCGTCAGAATAGAGTGGTACTATTACTTCCCTTGATCTGGAAACTATACTTCTGTTGCTGCAACCTAGAATAGCATTAGCTTTTTTTTGCTGCTGTTTGTCTCAGGCCAAGGAAACCTGGGTCCACCTCCTTACTTAGCCATGAATTCATTGTACAGTCCTCATCAAAATCTATGCAAGTCTCTGTTCCCCATCTGCTAAAATACCTGTTGTGCAGGTATAAGGTGAGGGGAACACTGAAAAGAATGCGGGACTTCATGTCACCTTAGTCCTTAGAGATCCTACATACAAATGCATTGTAGTGTTTTATTCGTTGTCTTATGTAGGGCCTAGAACAATCTGATTTGCTTCCATTGAACTAGTCCCTGGGGCTTAAAATGGTATCATGTTGCTTTTTGCTTTTGCTTCAACTGGATTTCTTCTGCCTTTGACATTTCTACTGCACTCCTCCCCACCACCCCCCAGCTACAATTTCTTTTTTTATCTCAACCTTCAATAGTTAGGTGCTTTCTTTAAAAGGTTTCAGTTATGCTGAAAGAACAAACAAAATCAAACTGCACCTATGTTGTGCTTTCCTGAGAACTCTTACTGGCTTGCTTAAACTTTGCAGTTGTGAATCTCTGCAGCCCCAATGCAAAACTATTTGTTCTTCCCCGCAGAGGGGGAGCTACTAATTTGGGAACGCCTTCTTCCAAAGTCAGTGGGACTTGAGACTTCCTCTCCATGGTATGCTAACAGCAGTGAGGAACCTTTTCCAGAACATCAGGAGAAACTTCTTGATGGTAAGAGCACTATGACAGTGGAATAATAATAATAATAATAATAATAATAATAATAATAATAATAATAATAATAATAATAATAATTTATACCCCAGCCATTCTGGGTGGCTTCCAGCAAATGATTAAAAAGACATTAAAACATCAGACATTAGAAACTTCCCTAAACAAGGCTGCCTTCAGATGTCTTCTAAACGTCAGATAGTTGCTTATTTCCTTGACATCTGATGGGAGGGCGTTCCATAGGACAGGCACCAACACCGGGAAGGCCCTTTGCCTGGTTCCCTGTAACTTTGTTTCTTGTGGTGAGGGAACCAGCAGAAGGCCCTCAGAGAAGGACCTCAGGGTCCAGGCTGAACAATGGGGGTGGAGACGCTCCTTCAGGTATACTGGGCCAAGGCCGTTTAGGGCTTTAAACCAGTTTTGAAGATAGTGGTGGGCTTTCCTTCACTTGAAGTCTTCAATCAGAGACTAGGCAGCCACATGTTGGTGATTTTCTACCTCTGGATTACTTGTACTGAGTAGGACTTGGTGTTCTTGAGAAGCTGCCCACTGCCCACACTCCAGGGATGTTTCCACCATTTACAGGGACAGAAAACACAGACACAGTGCGAATTAATAGGGCTAAGTGTCTGTGTTTTAACTTGTGCTTTGGGGAGGAGCAAACGTTTCACCTTGCAAAAGTCCAGGTATCTGCATGGATCCCCTATGAAATGGGCAGTGTTGAGCAATGGGTGCATCTGACCCCAAGCGAGTTAAGACAAGGGAAATAGGGGGAGCAGGACAAACATGGGTCCACTAAGGTTGACATATCCCTGTGATAAATATTCAACATACTGACTAGGTCATGCAGCCTTGGGTATTGCACAGATGAAGAGATGCTGGAGTGAGTTGGTCCAATCAAATTACATGGGGAGGAATCAGATTGTGCCTTCACCTGACACTCTGAAGAGCATTAGACTTCAGTGCTTCATTTTAAATGCCTCTGAAAGACAAAGTTGTGTTCTGCCTTCAGGGAGCTAAAGGCAGAAAGGGAGCTGAAAAAAATTATATTTACTACCAGCCAAGCTGTATCTCTTGCTCCAGTTAGCATAACTATGCTCATAAGTGGCCATTATTCTAAAAGTGCTCCCTTAAATTATCTGTGAGAAACCCAGTTCAACACATCTTCAGTACTAATGCAAGACTCCAGTCTGATGGCTGGTAGAGGAGCTTCTGAGAAGAGCCTAGGAGTGGCATGAGACACAGAAGCCACTAAGAGACTTTCATATCATCTGGTGCCGTGCCATCTTGGTCCAGATACCTACCAGGAAGACATAGTACTAGTTTGGAAGCTTTCTATGGCTGGTGGAATGACCACCCTGTAGCAGTTGTTGGGAGCAGGAAACACAGGTGACTGTCATCAAATGCAGAGATTGCCTTCCAGCATTGCTCACATGCCATGAAGTGCAAAAATGGCCCAAGAGACAAATGTCATAAATGTTTACTAATGATTGACAGGTGGGCAAGGCTCACTGGGACAGCCCTGATGGGACAGATTGAGAGGTCTTGCAGACTGGATACGGCTGAAGGTTTCCCTGTGTACCTGATTTCACTAGCAAAAAAAGGATGGTGGTCCTGAATATCCCACTATTCAGCTCCATTGGATAATCCCAGTAAACAACATTATATGTGAGGTCGAGAAAAAATAAGTTTATGTGCCTCTGTCATGCCCCTCCTTACTCACTTTTCCCTCTAAGTTTAAAAACAAAAACCTTCTGTTGCTCAGAAGAAGAAAATAGTGTCCACACTTGTTTGGTTATCTATTATCTTTCCAGAAGAATCCCAGGATGGCTTCTAAAACACAAACCAAACATTTGGAGTCAAAACTAAAACCACACCTTAAGAACAGCAAGCCCATAAAGGTAGCTTTGCAGTGCAATTCTATGTGTGTCTATTCAGAAATAAACCCCACTGAGTTCAGCGGGACTTACTCCCAGGTAAGCGCGTGGAAGGTTCCACTGTTAAAATAATCATTCTTCAAAGCAGGAGCAAGTAAAACCGCACCAATCACCTCAAGCTGGAAGTACCAGTAAAGAGGTCTTCACCCTCCAGCGAAACCAAGTGAGCAGTTTGGAGACTTGCAGTGGGAACTTGAAGGGTTTGCTAAATTGGATTCCTCCCATTAAAAGTGTTCATAACTGGAAGTGGAGTTATGTATTTTTCATCTGAAAATACTGAACGCTGCCCCCGCTGCAGCCGGGTAGAACATGGGTGAAGTGTTCCCTAAGCACCCATGAACCTGTCATTAAAGGAGTCGTGAGTTTTCCAGTTGGGGGATTACATGTTCCTTAATGTTACAGGATGTATCACTTGCAGAGAATTTCTGCCACCGCAAGCTAAGAAAACAATAAAAAAAATTGTATTAAATAGCAGCACAGATTCAACATCCATATTTCATCCAGATTTTTTATTCTTCTGTGGTTTCTCACTATGGCCAGCCATGTCATGACATTAAAATGAAGCCCCTAAGTAAATGACTGGGAGATTAAAAAAAAACAAGCCAGCACCACACCGCTTGCGAAAGGTAACCAAATTCCTCTTCCTGACAGGCTGTAAACAATGTCACAGGACGACATTGTTTTTCTTTCCACAGCCCTGCCAAGTGAAAGAGGAAGCATGAGATTAGAAGAAAATATTTAAATCAAAAAACCAAATCCTCAAGTGAACATTGGTCAAGTCCCTCCTTCCAGTTCAGTTTGTAAAGCAGATGTGCGCTTAAGAGAGAGAGATATATAATTGCTGAGTTAGGGGGAAAAAACCCATTGGGAAGAAAAACAAAGTTCAAGGACCAGGTCTTCAGCTGACATTTGCTGTGTTGTCTCTACTAAACAGATTGTCTCCACCAGTGATATCTAGAAGTATTGTGGGGGAGACTGGTGGATGTTTTTAAATGAAAACTATTTGGTTTGAATTTTCGGAATAGGCCGAATCTCCTGAATTTTCTATGGTGACAAGTTATGCATTTGTATTTTTTAAAACGCATAAGCTATTTTATATATCTAGGCCAGGATTCAGCTAAGTCGTTGCATGTGTGGAACAAGGTCTACTCGTGCAAAGGAACTTCCCCTGTCTTCTCCCACCCACATGCCTCCCATGCTCCCTAAAACTGCTCTAGAGGATTGCAGGAACCCCCAGAACAGATTTTGAGCAGGGGGCATATGAGGGAGCAGAGGGAGGAAAGTCTCATTGCTCAAATGGATCTAATTTCGTGCAAGCATACTTCACTTAGCACTACACTGAATTCCAACCTAGATGCAAATTTCAAAATAAGTACCATAATGCAGTACATCTTGTCCTAGTACAGTGGTACCTCGGTTTTTGAACAGCATAGTTGTGCTGGTCCCGGGGGGGGGGGCATGGTCTGAGTCTGGTCCTAGGTCGAGGGTGAGGAGGCTATCCATCGGGGTGAAGCAAGGTCCAAAGCGAGGAGTCAGGCGTGGTCAGGAACTCAGGAGAGCAGGTCAGGGTGCCGGCAGGAACAGGTTACCAACAATGTTGCTCCTGCAACCTGGGACTGGGCTGACTGGCCTTTAATTTATCTCCTCTGAGGCATAGGGCGGTCCCGGCCCACAGGTGACTCGCCTCCCCTGGCCTTAAGGCGAGCACTCCTCCTGTGAGAACTTAGTTCCCTCCGCCTCTCTACTCTGAGCCTCTGCAGCTCCGGAGAGGCTGGAGGGTTGCTGGACCCAGAGGCAACCTCACCTTCCCCTGACAGGGCTGAGAGTGGAGCACCTGCAGGCAATGGGTCCTCGATCACCTCCAGAGCCAGAGCGGATTCAGCTGGTGTCTGCTCCTGAGGATCCAGCACAGGTGAGGACCCTTCAGGTTCAAGCCCCTGCCCCGGCTCAGCCAGCCCTGGAGGCGGGGACTCCTGTGCAGGCTGGGACTCCTCAGGTTCAGCCTCTGAATCCGATTCCCAGGCCACCACATTAGTTCACAAACAACTTGGAGCCCAAACACTGCAAAACCGGAAGTAGGTGTTCTGGTTTTTGAGCTTTTTTTTTTTTCAGAAGCCAAATGTTCTTCTAAAATCTCCATATAAAATGCTAGACTCACGAGGAGGAGAAGCTAAACTGTGAACAAATGTGATGGAAAACACCACCGAGCGCATTCTTACGACACGGTTGCCCCCGGTGCATTCAGACACATTACTGTGTAGCAAGTGCTAAGTACTGCGGAAAAGGGGAAGAAGAGTGGTATGGGGGGTGGGGGGGGGGGAAGCAGCCTGATAATCAGCTGCCCTGTTCCACAGAGTATAGGCTGGATACACAAAGCGGGGCTGTAATGATTTCTCCACCCCTGCAGTTTCACTTGTAAGAAGAGATCAGCAGCCACTCTCTCTAAAGTCCCTCTCTAAAGCAGGGCTTGAATGTTGTGTGCAAACAAACAGCAGGGAAGCCCGAACAGTTTGCAGAGTACAAACAGGATGGCATCTTGCTGCTTCACACTGCGCAGGGCTGCCATTGTCTGGGTGATCCACAGCAGAAATCAATCGAGGAGACTAATGATGGCTTCAGAAGGGGATGAAAGGAAAAGAGAAGGAGACTAACAAGGTGGAAAAAGGCACGGCTGTCAGGAAATGTGCCGGCATTGCAAGAAATTGCTTGTTGTTCATTTTGGATTTGCTGGTAGAACAGTAAGGCCAGGCTGTGCCAGGTGAGAGGCGCATCCCAGACAATATCCTTTGCAAGGCTGCAGGGCATGTTGGGTTGGCCCCATGTGACCCAGGATTTGTGCCCCCAGCATCCTCTGTGAGATTTTGTGCCATACAATTCACAGACCCTCCAAGTGTCCCTGTTTTCCTGGGACAGCCCTGGATTTAGAGGCCTGGGTGCCTACTGGAATGAATGAATGAATGAATGAATGAATATAATAATTTATTACTTATACATCACTCAGGCAGAAGATATAGAAGCATGATTAGTCGCACCAACAGGGTAAAGAACAGCTTCTATCTGTGGACTAAACAAAAAAAATTCCTTCCAGTAGCACCTTAAAGACCAACTAAGTTAGTTCTTGGTATGAGCTTTCGTGTGCATGCACACTTCTTCAGATACACTGAAACAGAAGTTGCCAGATCCTTCTATATAGTGAGAAGGTGGGGAGGGGTATTACTCAGAAGGGTGGTGGGAATGGGTGATTGGCAGATAGCTGTGATGAGCCTGTTGACGACTCTTAACGACTGCAATAGGTCTTACAGGAAAAAGCAAGGGGTGAGAAGGTGAAAAATGGCTTTGTCATGTATAATGAGATAAGAATCCAATGTCTTTGTTCAGACCAGGTCTCTCCATGGTTTTAAGTTTGATAATGAGTTGCAATTCAGCAGCTTCTCTTTCCAGTCTATTTCTGAAATTCCTTTGTAGTAAAACAGCTATTTTGAGATCTTGTATAGAATGTCCTGGGAGATTGAAGTGTTCTCCTACTGGTTTCTCTGTCTTGTGATTCTTGATGTCAGATTTATGTCCGTTTATTCTTTGGCGTAAAGTTTGGCCTGTTTGTCCAATATAGAGAGCTGAAGGACACTGTTGGCATTTGATGGCATACACAATGTTAGACGATGAGCAATTAAATAGTCCCGAGATGGTATGTGTGATGTTGTTGGGGCCAGTAATGGTGTTGTCCGGGTGTATGTGGCAGCAAAGTTGGCATCTGGGTTATCTGTGGACTGTTAGGCTGCTGAATGAAAAGATAACAGGGCAACTGACTTTCGGGTTTGGTGGGTGTGCGTCAGTGAACGAGGGGAATTAAGACTAAGAGAGCTGAGTGGGGGGTGCTCGTGTAATCTCACTGTATACAAGTTGTACAAGTGACAATAAAGTATTTCACTCCTCTGACTGGGTTGCCCCAGCCACTCTGGGCAGCTTCCAAGAAATTGAAACATCGAACACAGTAAAAATCAAACATAAAAAACTTCCCTATACGGTGCCACTACCGAGAAGGCCTTCTGCCAGGTTGTCTGTAGCTTCACTTCTCACAGAGAGGGAACCACCAGAAGGCCCTCGGAGGAGGACCTCCATGTTCGGGCTGAATGATGGGGGTGGAGATGCTCCTTTAGGTATACAGGGCCAAGGCTCTGTACTAAGACAAGGGAGCGTGGGAAATATAGTTCTCAAGCCATATTTCCCATGCTTCATTGCTCCAGTAGATGTTGCCACATGTGATCACGGCAGAGTCTAGGTATTAATCCTGAGGCCTGCACCTAGCCTTTCCCAGTTGAGTTTGGGAAGGGGGGGGTCCATAAGGATTGGTGGAAGAGAAGATGCCATGGAGTTAAGCTAATTCTGAACCTAGGGGGATACGGGTCCAATTCAGGGTGGGTTTAAGGGATTGGAATCAGACGTGGAGCTAGCTGTTCCGGCACCCGGAGCGGCGCACATGCTATGCACCCGGGAACAGGGCCATGTGTGGGAATGTTCTGGGGTGCAGGAGAGGATATATTGACTAATTATCTTTATTCAACTTGTGCTAACAAGTTCCCAAAATATCAGCAGAGTTTATAAACATTCCCCTTTAAGTGCGCAACGGTAACGTGTGCACAGGTTCGCTAGAACATCTATAATAATTACTCTGGTAATTTCCCCTTTTGTTCCCTCTTAAAATACAAGACACGACACAGTCTTTATAAAAGTATAAAAGAGTTTACTCACGTTCTGTTCACAATATGATCCCAGAAGGCAGACAGCTTAAAAAGGTTACATACATTCAGAATCTACCTTGTAGCAAAATAGTCCTTATCTCCTCTCTTGGCTAGGAGCCAAGAGAGCATCCTTAGATGTTTCCTCATCAAAGGAAGATGGCAGAGAGAGAGAGAGAGTGGCTGCCTGCCCTGTGCTTTTGTCATTACTTGCACAGGTGAGGCCACACCCACCTCTGGTCACATGCGGAGGAAGTCCATCCCCAGGAAGTTTACCTGCTTGCTGGACTGACATCCCTCCCCATGTTCTAACATGTACACTCTAGGAATGTTGTCATTGACTGCTCCTGTGTTTACATCCCACACCATGGGGGTGGGGCAAGTGTCCCAGGGGGTGCTGTGGCGAGCATCCCAGGAGGTGAGATGCCCAGGGGGTGGAGCAAGCCTCCCATGGGGGTGGAGCGAGCCATCCATTGCGGGTTGCTTCCTGGGCGGGGGGGAGGGCAGAGCTGCGCCGCTTCGCCAGCAGCCTCCCTCCCTTCCCTCTTGCTTTTGACAGCTCAGGAGGGCTCCCCCCCCCCCAGGAAGCAACCCGGGAGTGGGGGGCAACGGTGCACCATCCGCCTGTCCACAACTCCCAAGCCTCCCCTAAGCTGTCAAAATGAAGGGAGGAAGGGAAAAGGCCACCG